CCTTTTTTTTGGACCATCCTCAGCGCAATTACAAAGTATATGGAATATATTATATTAAAAATGTGACAGCAATAATATGCAGAACAAGAGTGAGTCACCCATGTTGTCAGGTGGTAAATGTTATATAATGTAATTTCGAGACAGAAAGAGACTGTCCGATAAAATATATGACATTAAAAAATAACTAGCAATATAATTATACCGAACTTGAGTGAGTCACCCATGCTGTACAGAAGACAAATTGCCTCACGGAAAAAAAAAAAAAAAAATTAGCTGCCGTAGCTAAAAACTGCGTGTGGTAATTAGATTTCAGTCGTAATATATGGACAGCAAACATCTTAGCTGTCACATCTATTTATTAGGTGCAACAGCAAACATCTTAGCTGTAATACCTATTTATTAAATGCAACAGCAAACCGTTTTGCTGTAGTTTAGAAATTTATTTTGCAAACCATGATTAGCTATGGTAGCGAACATTTTTTTTCCGTGCTTCTGTACAACATAGGTGACTCACTCTTGTTCTGCATATTATTACTATCACATTTTGATATAATAGATTCCATATATTTTGTAATTACGCTGAGAATGGTCCAAAAAAGGGATCGAACGTACGCTTTTTGTGATTTTATCACATAGTCAAAATATCAATGTAATTTGATTGTAATAAAATATATGCGCACAAATTACCGCGCTGGTTCTTGATTGCCTTTTATTTCCACCCCCATTAAGTTAGCCTCCCCCCCCACCAGCGCTAAATAAGTTTTAACTTATATTAAAATTAGGTGCTTTTTGAGCATCTAATTTTTTAATGCTATTTTATATTTGTACGCAGTTCGTTTCCGTCCGCGGACGGGAACGGGCGTGTTCATATACGTTATGCGTGTGTCCTTTGGACTTTATTTTTGAGTTTCTTCCTCTCTTAAAGAGAAATTTTTTCTATTTGTTACTCTTAACTAGTTTTTGGCCGAAATCCGATCCTACTAGATCGGATGTGGCCATAAAAGCAAAGGAAGAAGTATATTTGTACACGTCACGCGACCGAAGTAAAGAGTAAAGTTATATTAAATAATTAGGTGCTCGATAGTTACTGGTATCAAAATATTCGTTAATTAATATTATGTCGAGATATCTAAACGCCGAATTAAGTGCTCGATCCGTTTGGCAGGATTTCGAACTTAAACGTCTGTCGCGCACACGGCCGTACAAGAGTAAAGTTATATTAAATAATTAGGTGCTCGATAGTTAATGGTATCAAAATACTCGTTAATTAATATTATGTCGAGATATCTAAACGCCGAATTAAGTGCTCGATCCGTTTGGCAGGATTTCGAACTTAAACGTCTGTCGCGCACACGGCCGTACAAGAGTAAAGTTATATTAAATAATTAGGTGCTCGATAATTATTGGTATCAAAATACTCATTAATTAATATTATGTTAAGATATCTAAACGCCGAATTAAGTGCTCGATCCGTTTGGCAGGATTTCGAACTTAAACGTCGGTCGCGCCCACGGCCGTACAAGAGTAAAGTCCTATTAAATAATTAGGTGCTCGATAATTATTGGTATCAAAATACTCGTAAATTAATATTATGTTAAGATATCTATGCGCCGAATTAAGTGCTCAATCCGTTTGGCAGGATTTCGAACTTAAACGTCTGTCGCGCACACGGCCGTACAAGGGTAAAGTCCTATTAAATAATTAGATGCTCGATAATTATTGGTATCAATATACTCGTTAATTAATATTATGTTAAGATATCTAAACGCCGAATTAAGTGCTTGATCCGTTTGGCAGGATTTCGAACTTAAACGTCTGTCGCGCACACGGCCGTACAAGGGTAAAGTCCTATTAAATAATTAGATGCTCGATAATTATTGGTATCAATATACTCGTTAATTAATATTATGTTAAGATATCTAAACGCCGAATTAAGTGCTTGATCCGTTTGGCAGGATTTCGAACTTAAACGTCGGTCGCGCCCACCGCTCTACAAGAGTAAAGTCCTATTAAATAATTAGGTGCTCGATAGTTACTGGTATCAAAATACTCATTAATCTGGGGGGGCTAACTTAATGGGGGTTTTATTTCCTTCGTATGATATATTCATAAGAGCCTTTACTAGTTAATTTGTAACTAAATAAATAAAAATGAATATTGAATCTCTGAACTAAGACTTTCTATTTTAGGAACTAGTTATATTACAGTTCTGCCGTCTATTCCTACCGCGGGTTTGACTAAAAACGATCTTCCAAAGCTTATGGAGCAAGTGTACGAAGTTATGAACAAAACTTTTGTGGAATCTACGACGGAATGTCTCGAAGAACAAATACAAAGTTTTAAGTGTGAATAATAAGAGTAACGCGGAATTATCATTGTCCAAAATGTAATCTGAATTAATTGGCGAATTCGCAATTGATGAATTCAAACGGTACTTTTTGAGATTGCATGTAGGAATGATTTTCATCGTGTTGTATCGAACAATTTTTCTAGACGTGCTGTTTTTCAGCGCGTTCTTTTCCATACATTTATGTGCGCATAAAGAAATCTTAGCTCCTAACTTAATAAGAGTCATTTAGATCTTTACATGCCCGTCGATCGATTAATGGTAATTGTTTTTTTTCGGCATTATTACGATAACGACATAAATTTGAGATATGTTATATCGACCACACTGCTCTTCCATTATTTCTTATACGAGTTTATTTTTAAATATCAGAAAAAAGAATTTTTCGCGAAACTTAAACGATTTTTCATCGATGCGATTTATACTTTTTTATACCTCTTGCAGAAAAATTTAATTTATATAATTGAGGTTCTCTCTCTATTCCTAAGTTCTATATTATCGTGCAAAATGTGACGTACATTTCTAATAGATATGCAAAATTGTACCTGCTATAAAATCATTCAGTATGTATAGATCATCTCATATGTTTATGTATTCCAATGTGTACATATTATATTATGAGATATATGATAACTTTACATTAAAAAATTCAATCTGGATATTTGAAATTAATTGTTATTTCTATTGTTCTCTATATGCGCGATTAATATGTACTATTATATTTTCTTTATAATAAGAGAACAATGTTTTTTTCTATATTTAAGCAATGTTATAAGTTTGTAAAAATATATTTAATTTTTTTTCAAATATCTGAGATTGAATTTAGGAGCATTGCGACATTAATTAATGATTAAATAAACAATATCAATAAAATTGTCCGCCATTGTATTTAATGCGTCCATATTCTCGTATAATGTATGCAAAGTATTTTTTCCGAAATCTTAAATTATGTTGAAATTTTACTATTTATTCCCATGAGACTAAATATATAAACGGAGTGCCATGTACATACTTATATATAACGTGTTTTCAATCTTATTATAAAACTGAATCCTGTCGAGTATATATTTGCAATGTATTCATGTACACATCACATGTTTTAAGTTTAAATTATATTATAGATAGAATGAGGAAAATTGCTTTTATTAAGTAACATAAATAATTAATGCGTTATTAGGAAATAATGTATCAATAATGTATATTCTTTTTTGAATTCGTAATAACATATATGAGAGAAATATCGAACAACATCTGTATAAATGCATTTTTGCAAATGTGTGATTTATGTATGTTTACGTGTATTTTCTCAAGAATAATGTGTTAAAACTACAATAAATTATATTTTAACTAATGTGGTGCACACATTTGACGACAATATTATAATTCCTATTTCTAACCATTAATTATCAGAAGATAAACGCCGAAGATGATAAAATACGATGATATAAAATTACGATTATGAAAATATCAGGCAGTAATATTCTCGAGTTTTTCAAGACAGTCATAAAGTCTGCCCGATACATTACTCATATCAAAATTCAATGTTTTAGATGGAAAATGAGAATAATTAGTAAGATAAGACATGAGAGTTTTACGTTTTTCAGCAGAGATGTGATTATAACAAAATGGACAAAATGCTTTTACGGATCTCCAATTGCGCCAGTCCTCATCGTGGTCACATATTTGACCCAAGAGTTCTTTCGAGCGAGCGATAATATCTTCTCTAATCTGAAATGCAAAATAGATATTATGTCTCTTGATTCAAGACCAAATTAATATTTGCGATGATGAAAGGTCCATCTCGATGATGTAAGCATTATTTTTTCTCGTAACTTTTTTTTCTTCATTTGCATCCATCTTGCTCATATTTCTTACATTTGCATAATCAGCTAATAACGACAACCTGTTTCCTAGATGATTAAAATAGGAGAATTTCCTGGTTTGCGTCTGCATATTCGTTTTCATCCATCCCTGAGTTATCGTTTTAGAAAAATTAGTATATCTCGTCCTGCTCGTTCTTTGACATGACTGATCTAGGCTGTCGCTTTGTTGAAACTTTGGATTTAAAGTCCTTACAGGTATTTTTTCATTTAATATCGGAGTTGCTAGTGCAGGAATAGCACATTGAACCTGTTTATTCTTGTTTTTTAATGACCAATGACCGTCGATAAAATTCTCTGTTTTATATTTTTGATTTCCTTGATGATTCTCTTCAGGATTTATATATTTTCTCTGGGACAATATGTTCTGCAAACATGATATTTTACACAATGTAACATTATTAAAAAAAATTTGTATGATCTTAATTGTAATGTCAGGTTTTTCTAGTCAAATAAAAACATTAATATTAACTTACCTCTATTATTTCATCAATTTTTTCCTTTTTTTCATTTATGTGTCTCCATAAGGAAATTATATTGAAAGACGATTCAGTCTCGTTTCTAAAATTTTTAATTAAGTCATTTTTCGTTGTGTTCTTTTTGTTTACAATATATGTTCTGGCTCTTCTTCGCTTGGAGAATTCATCGATGTTTTCCGAATTGCGATGATCGTTGCAAATCTTAACTTCGAGATCCACCGAAAGCGAAGAAGTTGAAGATTCATCTACTCTAATTTTAACCGGCGAAAAATCCGCGAAACGTTCATCATTTTTCTCTCGAGCCGTATCGACATTTACAAACCTCGGAAAATTATTCTTTTTCTGAAAACTTGAGCACTTGTGTGTCAATTCGTTAATTTCATCGTCTACTTTCTTTTCCGGTGTACTGCATTTGTATTTGTTGCACGGCAATTTGTATAGTGCATAAGGACATTGTTCCCTACAGGAACATTTTTTATATTTTTTTATTTTATTTGCCAAAAACATTTGTTTCGTATGATTTTTCGATAATACGCCTGTGAATCGATCTGAATGAATCACAGAACGATCATTGCTTATCATTGATAACGGGCTCGCTTGCGTGCTATTTTCTATCACGTTTTGATATGGAAGATTAGGTAACCTTGTCTCGTTTTCTTGCCATGAGCATGTAGCAATCTCTGTTTGTGCAAAAGCATTGGATGATAATGACGTGTCCGCCAAATTACTTAATTCTTCGCTTATATCAGTGTCTTTAGTTATGTCCTCGTTCTTTGTATCTTTGAGAGACTTCTGCTTTTCCTCTTTTTGCAGAACGCATATTTGCAATTGCTGTTGATTGGACGTCACACATTGGTGCTTAGTGCTTTTCGGGGATTTTCTAGTTTTTCGAAAGCTTTGTATATTTTTTATAATTTTATTCTTAAAGAATTTCAGTCCACCATATATTGTTAAGGATCTGATTGTATGCTCCGATGGCTTATGATCCCTTTTCCTCTTACAATGAACTACATAATTCGGAGAAGTTGAGCAAGATTTCCAAGCCTAATAACCAATGTCATAATATGTTTGTCATTTATATAACATATTACAACAATTATCATAATACGTTTTTTTCATTTATATAACAATTTACATAACAGAAATAAAAATTTATATGTAAGAAGATATAAACTTACATAAAAAAATAGAAATGCATTGTAAGTTTGTGTAAGAAAATAAATTTTAATTTTTTTCTGTAAGTTATATATAATAAAAACTCAACACTACCTGTGCTTATACATTTTTATGTATAATAAAATATATACAACAAGTATATCACATATATTTAAATTTTTTATAACCGTAGCAAATATTGCATAATTATTGCTGTTAAAAAAATCATAGTCCAATATATTTTATATGAATACCTCGGTATTCTTTGCAATTTGATGAGTTTCATCGATCCTCGTACAAATTCCAGTATTACTAAAATATGTTTTCATATTTTGCAATACAGTCGGTTTGACATAATCAACTTTGTTATTTTCTTTTATAGGCTCAAAAAAAACTGTCTCACGATTCACGTTGACGGATGCTTTTTTCAAATCGTTTAATGCCATCCTAAGTTCGTTCACTACATCTGAAAGAGCTTTCACTTGCTCGAGTATTTGATTGAGTTTATACTGATCAGGATGACAGATCTTTTCTGACATAATTCAAACTTTTTACTAATATTCTAAAAAGAAAATATGTAGTGTTCTTTGTGTTATATTGCATGACATATTAATATAATTTTCACGTTAGAAATTATTTTGGTTACATGGTTAAGTTACGACGGATTTTCCTCATCTGTCATCCATATCAGTTTGTTTTTCTTACATATCAGAATATATCACGGTCGTACCGCGGAATATATATAGTAGAAACATTCGAAAATTGTTAAGAAAAATGTTCGCGCGCGTAAACAGATTACAGAATTTATTATTTATTTTTAATAGACATATAGTTGTAAATTACATATTAAAGAAATATGGATTGTTAATTCAGATTATTGAAAAATTCTACAGCATTGTATCTGAAAAATATTGCTATGAATGATAAATATTACTAATATTCAATATATACATATGTATATATAATCTTACATTGTTTCATATTTTGTAATAAGCAACAAGGAAAAATTTTGTCTTTTCAAAAATAAAATATTAGAAAAAAATATTGACATTCGTGTAACTCGGAGAAAAAGAATTAATATTTTTCATTCATGTTTACACGCTGTTTAGATCGGAATAGCGTATTTATTATTATATATTACCGTCTTTTGAATTGCCTCTTCTCCATCTTGTTTGGTCGATATAAAGACGCATCTTAAAGAGAATGGAAAGAGATTGGCACCTTTTTCGCTTGAAAAGAGTGCGGAGGTATATTTCGTGAAAGAAATAAAAGGCCTGTTCATAATCACAACAGATATTATATAATAAATCGTATTTTTACAGTGGCAGATACAATGTAAAATGAACAAGGATACTTTTACGAAATATACACGCATTAAGTCGTACGTTGATCCAGGAATCGACCGGCGACACTATGTACAACACAACCACGGAAGCGTGCGCGATGTACCAATTGGCAGGCAACGCGGTTGCACTTTTGAATTTGGCACGCGGTGCATCTATTCGCCTATATACTCTTGTCCCGGCGTCTCTTTCTCTGGATATGTAAATGTGTATATATATGTATTTGTGTGTTTGTGTTTATATATGTCTATATGTTATCCACTTTTCTAAATGCACTCATCTGTTTCAGTCGAACGAGACACCGGAACGCGTCCTGGCTGATCTCCACGTTTTTCCGGGCGCGGTAAAAAGGATAGTCACAAACGAACAAGACTCTTTGATTAAAAGTTACAACAAAAGAAAAAAAAACATCGAATGCCCGGATAAATCGCAGAAACGTTGTAAAAGCGGATATAATACCAGCCAAGACGCCGCTATCACTCCTTCTCGATCCTAGTCAAATGAACCATGTGAATTAGCGTACATCGACCAAGAAACGTAAAGGAAAAAAAAAAAACAGTAAGTACGTAAACGTGATAATATTATAACGAATCACTATGCTGTGTTATGTACAAATTTTTCCTCGTTCTCTCTTTTTCTTTCTCTCTCTCTCTCTCTCTTTCTCTCCTTCTCGAGGAAACGAACGAAATAACGGAAGAAATATTTTTCAATTTCAAAGATAATAAAAATGAGAGAAAAACACGAAAAGAACAAATAAAAACGAAGACATCGACGACATGCGTCGATTAGCGATCTTGCGCGGGCAACGATCTCTCTACGTGTATTAATATTTAAGTACATTGATTAATCGATATTCTCTTTCGATAAGTACCGCAATAAGTACCCAGCGATCATTCCCTGCTGCTACTTTACAGTGTTCGTTTAAATTTCTTCGCGCTTTTAATTTTGTTATCTCTTGTTACCTTTTGATTTTCGGGACGGACGGAAGGTGGCTCGAAAAAACCAAGTCCATTTTCGCCGAACAACTCGCAACGATGACGGCAAAAACTTCTCTCGCAGAAATAGATGAATATCATTCGCTTCCATAATCGTCAATAACAATGTCTTCTAAATTATTTATCTGATTAACAATAAGATCTATTACGCAATCGAAGCGGTAATACTTCTTAAACAATACTCGTCGTATAGAAGAACATCGATATAGGTACGCTTCATGTTCGCAACGTGGCTATATCGAAATAAATAAATAAATTACATTAGATGTAATTTGAAACGCGATTTTAATAGGACATTGCAATCAAATCGCGCGATCAAAAACTTATGTCGTTCAAGTATATATCTCGGTATGGAGTATTGCAGGAATGTCTACATATATCGTAGTATTGTACTACGTACATACTTATCAGAATGACTGCAAGTATATGACAATCTGCTATTCTTAAAAGTAACGCAAGAATTAAGAGGAGCCGTATAATATAAAACCCGCAAATAAATTATAAGTCACAGATCTTATATGATCGCGCAATATTATTGCGTCTCTTCTTAGAGTCCCCGCAAATCATATATTTATAAGATATTATTACACTTCGATTAAACTTCATCTAGGAAGAATTTCTCTCGCCTCATTGCTGAGTCGCCGGTTTAATAAATGATTCCATTACGCTCTCTCTTTCTCTTTCTGGAACTTCTTCATACGTTCTCCCATGCCCCTACACTGTCGCATCATACTTTAAATAATTAATCTATATACAATGCATACACACTTGCGCGCCTCAATTATCCTTCTTGTGATTATTTCCCTTGGCCTTCCTCGACATTTACCCTCGATCCGTTTCGAAAAACCGAAAGTGCAGCCGTTAACTTGAAAGACAGAAAGCTGCTAGAGGCGCAATACTGATATCTCGCGGGACGCTATCAATTACTATATGGGATTGAGGAAACCCATTTGCACTCGACTGCAATCAGATCGTAGATATGAATTCGCACTTCTTCGAGGATCGGCTCGGCAAACGATTTTCGCACAGCTATTGCTATTACAGAGCGGAAGCACCGTCTAAGGTCCTCGAGGAAATCGTTCCGCGAGCGTCGTCCTCGTGCAAGAATTTTCTCATCATCCTGCGATCCTCCGTCTTTCTTTACGATAAATGCAACACGATCGTGTGTGTGTATATAATAGACGACGATAGTGTAAGACAATATCTCCGCTATAACTTTCAACAGCTAATCTTTACTTAAATAATCTATATGGGTGTTTTCTGCCGGCTATACAGGACGATAAAGTCCGCGGTACCCGAGCTCACGATCGCTCTTATTCTCTGTTATCGCGCGGCACGACAACCTTGAGCAAATCCCTCACGATACCTCTCTTCGACCCTGTTCGCTTAAGTACTGGCCACTTTCGCGTCAATATCACAGTCCCTCACGCGGATGTTAATCCACCTGCATAATGACATTTCACGTACGGTGAAATGTCATTCGTCTATCTACGTGCTCGTCTGACAATGAGCCGGGTGAGCCAGCCGGAAATGCAATTCCTTTTCTGCGAAAGGTACGATTATCTCGCTTTGTGATCCAGCTCGCGGGACACGATCACGAAGAGCGACTACACTACGCTTAATTTTCTCTCTTAAAAAAGAAAAAAAAACGATAAGGGTGCAGTGTAATCTTGGGTGCGTACAATTTCGTTTTTCATGCAGAACGACGATAACCGCTCGCGGTTCGAGCCTAACTCTACTCAAGATAATTGGGATATCCAATTACGATATATCGCGTGACAGACATTGAAGTATAATTATCGGTACTGTCGGGAAATCCATTGGTATTACGCGACATCTATTGCTTCTTCTTAACCGGCTGACGAGCTATAAGCCGGCTGACGAGCTGTTATTATTCGGTGCGTGAAATATTGTGTATCTCCCGTCACGTCATCTCCCGAACGTATGCTTTAATGCATTTATGCGTGTACCATTTTTTTTATTTTTATTGAGGTCGTTAAGGCTGTGCGCGTATACTTATCTATCTATAAAGTAATTTACGCTGATATCTTTTTTGTGCTGGTGTAAGGTTCGCTGCTACTGTCGTTGCTACTAAATGCCGACTCGAAAAGAGAAAGATCGTCACGCTCCTTCGAGACCCGGCTTCTCTTCGGGTCCCGTAGAGAGAGGACTCATACTATCCAACCGGAAGCTCGACCGCGACATTACGCGCGCGACAGCATTCGACGGCATTCGAGATCGGGTCGAGGACACGGCGGCTCACGTGTAATATTTTCGATCAGGCGCGACGTCGAAGCGCGAACGTGCGTGTTGTCGCTATGTGTTCGAGCGGAAATACTTGGCGACGTTGTTAATGAACTCCTGACGCTACAACTGCACCTGAAACGCCTGAGTCGCGTTCGGCATAATGAAAGGATTCGTCGTCGTGGTCGATTGCCGCAAATTTCTGGCGGCGATTTCCGCCCATTCGACGTCGAAGGGATCGGAGGGTCCTCCTCTGGAAGCCTGGCCCATCGCGGCTGATCCGAGCGAAAGCGCCCTGGCGTGAAGCGGAGGTGCTCGTCGAGGACTGGCAGGTACCTGCTGCGGTACCGGCGACGGCACAGAGCCGGTTATGCTACCCAACCATTGTTCTGGTTTCGGTAAACCGGCTGCCGTGGAAAGTGATTGTACCTATTGAATAGAGAAACTCGTGAGAAGATATCCCTGAGTATTTATGTAGAATATTATACGTACAATGGACCAAATGAAAAAAAAAAAAAGATTCTTGTATGTTGATGTTGCAGGAAATAAAAGTTCTCAAGAAGATGAAAATGGGCGAATTGAATACTCGGTCTTACCAATGTGAAAGGCAAAATATTTTCAAAGTGTGACAATGTTTTCAATGATTATAGCACTATATTTTGTTTCAATGAAGTTCTATTTTATTCGCGAGATTTGTATGAAGATTGTTCAATTTTGACGGTTTGATAAAAATATATATACATTATACATACTTACACTAAATACATATATATTATTTTTTAGATATTTTATTTATAAAATATTGATTGAAAAATATTTACAAAAAATATATAAAAAATGTTTACAGCATCTGATCTTTTTGTACATATTTTACAAATTTAATTTTAACAAAATTCTAAAGAATTTCGCTCAGATTAAGAGACTTGTTTATATTCTACCGTAGATGTTTAACTTACTAAAGCTGTCGAAACACCGGTTGCCGATGAAACTTGAGCGACGTCAGTTGAAGTGGATGCCGAGGTTAATGCCGAGGAGACGGACGCTACGCTGGCACTGGGAGAACTTGTTTTCGGTGTCATTGCTGAATTTGATGGTATCGGCGATCTGTTCACAGTCGGCGTAGGTGTGTTTCTCAAAGAGGACGTAGAAGTTGTGCTAAAAGCAGGGCTGGCTGCCGATGGTGGCGTGCCAAAGGCACCTACACCAGAGGAGACAGGTGCCGGTGTGCTCATAACGACCGGAGTGGGCGCGTTCGTCCTTGGAAGAACGGGACTCAAGTTGCTTGCCTTAAGAAGTGGCGTGAGC